ACCTTTGATAGTGAGCACCACCCTCTCGTGGCCAAATTCAGCCTCTAAATATGATTTTCGAGCAGTTTTTGATTTTAACGAAGTTTTTTTATACTTAAAATATTATCCTTGAGTTTGATTAATAAAATTAATTATGTTTAAAGTTAATTAAGCATAAATATATGTTTTTATTGAAGTTTTAAGTGTTAGAAATAGTTTCTAAGTACTACTTTTGATGTTTTATAAAGAGGGTTTAATCACTCATTAAAAAGGGAGATTTTTAGGGGTTTTTATATAATTTTCAGATTTTTATTAGACTTTGAACTTGCTGTAATTTCATGTATAAGAGTGTATTTTAAGGTTTTTATGAAGAAAATTTAAAGAACTATATATAAGCCTTTAATTTTAACTAAAGGGAAGGTTTTAAAGTGTTGTTTGATTTGGATTTTGAAGGTTTTAAAGTAAGTTAGTATTGCTGTAAATTTGATTGATTGGGTATTGATTGAGATGTTATTATTTGGCTTAGGAGAGGAGTTTATTGAAGGTGATTTCTAGTTAGTAAAGTGGCATACCAATTCGTTTGCTCAAGGTACGTACAAGTTACGAAATCTTTCTTTTAGGTGCATGTTTAAGGACGACGGATCGAGAACTTAGTATCATGTATAGGGATGACTGAGTTAAATTGTTTGGTTATACATTGTGAATTTCGTATGACGTGCACTATTTTATATTGCAAGTATTATTTGTGCTCTAATTATGCAAGGTGCGCTTAGAGGTAAAGGTATATGATTGGTGTAATGATTAATTTATTACTCATTCATGATTATGCAAGCAGGACGAGTAAAGGAAGAATTTAAGTCTTCTAAGACGAGGTTAAGGTTTTGGGGTGCCTTATGCACTCAAGGTGTTTATACACCGAGGTAGTAAAGGAATAAATAATAAATGTTGCTTGCCACTAATAAACCAAGAATTGAAATTGAAAAGTTGTTTTACTTGATTGAATTGATATTGGATTGATTGTATTGTTATGCATATGAGTCATCACCAAGTCTAAACCTGTAAATCACGTAAAGTGCAAGATGGATGAGCAATAAAACTCTGGATTGGTGCACTTCTGGAGTAATGACAATCAGGGGTTGGGGTACATGGGGTATTAGCCGTATACTTTTCTCGAGGCCGTCTGATCTACAAGTCTCTTATTTCAAATATTTTTCAAAATTAGGAGTTAGGTGAGATCTCATACTAACTACGGTCACGGAGTCGCGCCCGTGGTCGTTGGATGTTTATTGATGTTTCCGAAAGGAGACATGGGGTTTTTCTTTTATTGATGTTCCAAATGGAGCATGGGTTGGACAACCTTGTCTATTGCGTAATCCAATGAATAAAAATAATGATTTACCCATTATTAATTAATGGAGTCTTAGTAATATAAATAGTTGAGTTGTGTGTTGAGTCTATAATTTAATGATGCATGATGATTGATTATTAGTAGCATGTTATGGATTTCTTAATTTATTTTGTAGCTTGTATGTACTCAGCTTTGCTGATTGCGTGCTTTGTGTGTCTTTCTTTGGTCATGGCCTTCGCCTTTCAATGACCCTGTGACGATCCAATTTTTACACTTGTAATGTTGGGGAGCAGAATTACCACATGTTCTTACACATGCAGCATTCATCAGGGTTGTGGGATCTTGAGTAGAGAGTTGGTTGTTTGCATTTTATTTCTTTTGCAAGTTTGAATTTATTTTAATTCGATTTTATTCGACACTATTTCTTTTGGGTTTGAATTTATTTGAACACTGAATTTAATCACTTACTACTTTTATTGGGTTTTGAATAAGGGCCTTAATGGTTCCAAGTTGTATGACTTAATTTGGTTTCATTCGTTGGTTTTGAAACTTATTTATAACTGATTTAGTTTTTCCGCTGCTATTTTCTGATAAAGCCTTAACGTTTGAACACGTGGCGGTAGCACGCCAGTAATTCTCTTAAAATTGTTCAGGTTATATACATGTTTCTCACAGGTTTTTAAGAGAGAATTATTGGGGTGTTACATGGTCTCCACTCCAATCCGGTACAGTCTTGGACCGATAAACAGCCCTAGTCCTACCTGATATATGAGTCCCTTAATGTAGTGTCTTTGTCAGTGAAAAATCCAAATGATGAAGAGACTCATTTGACACAAGAAAATTGATAAGTTGGAATTGCTCCAACAACTTCAATTGTAAGTTCGTTGTTGTTGAGGGAACCAATTATGCAATTAATGTGATAAAGAAACACCCTCTGATGGATTTATATATGTGTGTGTTTGTGTATCACAGTGGCAAACATAATGTAATCACCACTTGTACATACAACAACCATAATTGATATCATTAAGTTGTTCAAAAGGTTTTACATGTTCAAAAGAAGCTAGCTAAGACTGCCTTACAATATATGGCCTGAATTTTGACAAAATCCACATAACCAATTAATATCAAACAATGGTAAAACCAAAAACACAAAAGACAACCTGCTATTTTATCATTTGCATCTATGCTCTTCATTGGTTATGTGTGGCAGTCTCACTGGCACTTTCCTTATATGTTTGAGATGTGTTCAGTCTGCATTAACTTGCATGCCTTCATCCTCTTCATTGCCTTCACCTCTTGAAATGAATAAAGTGTTGAGATAATCAACATCAACCGCTTGTTGAACCAAATTCCTCTCCACCCCTAATTGTTCTAGCAGCAAGCCAAGTCTTTCCAGCCTTTTCTTCCCTTTGTGTGGTGGGGTGAAATTATTCCCACCTACATGATTGAGGATTTCTTCCATGCAATATTGTAGTATTATCCAACTTTACTTGTTTAACACTGGATTAAACAAGTCATAAGCCTCTTTCACCCTGTCTATGAGTTTCCCCAATTATCTTAGGAAATGATTGGTACTGTATGGACTGTATGACATTGAACAAGCCTAAATCTAGCACATTCAAGGTGTTGGCTGATAGATGAACTAAATGTTGAACCATGTGACTCACATGCAACAATGAATTCCTCATTATTAGGAATTTGATGAGGTATGGCATTATCCCACTGAATCCATATGTCCTTAGGCAGATGGGGTGGCCATTTCTCTTTTATTGCTGGAATTACATTGTTGAGAAGCATTGCTCTGATTGCCTCCTTGTTTACATTTTGATGTGCCTTAATTTCCACAACCCCAACTTCTCTATTCTTGCATTTTTTTTTCTTTCAATGGTCTCATAAACAAATGGAAAGATTCCATACTTTCCATCATGTAGCACATGTCCATGGGTGTCAAAAATTGGCTTGCCAATCATTGCCCTGAACATTCCTTTGACCTTGAATCTTTTGGACTGTTGGCACCTATATGGATTTGGTTCATTAGGCAGTAGGTAAAACCTACTTGTTTCTGGGTTCAAGTAGAACCATTTTTAATCTGTGTGTATGACTTGCTGCATATCCTCAAACTTTGGGTTAGCATTCTATTCAGCAGGCAACATATGACTTAAAACCCATTTTAGTCTAGTTATTTCGTGGTTGGATGTGGTTGATTGGTACTTGTATGTGTTCTCTCGGTTGTCCTTTTGTACAAAGGGACTGACTACAGAAACTCATCTGTATACTCTGTTGGTTTAGGTCCGGTTTTTCCAAGCTTCTTGCTTCTTGCTTCTGACATCTATCACATTCCTTTCAGCAATTTGTCTCTTTATGTCTTTGAATAATCTCTGTAATGTTGATCTGTGAACATTGAACTTCCTTGCTTGCTGTGATAAAAAGCCTCGTGGCAAATCCTCCCCGTCTAACTTCACAAGAATAAAATCAACGATCTCTCTTTTTTGCATAACAGTAAGTTACTTTCCGCCGTTAGGTTGTTGCATTGCTTCTTCATGAATCACATTTTGATCAATGCCATTAGTTTCTTCAATGGTGCTTGACTCACTGTTTCCATATTGGCTTCATCATTTAGCAATTGATCTATGCTAAAAAATTCCTCATTGTATAATTCTGTCATTTTTTAAAATTTATGCAATGTTATTCCTTGCAGATTTGAGAATTGGTGATGAAGTAAGGGTTGTTTTTTTTTTTATTATTTTTATTTTTTTTATTTTTTGTTTAGACTTACCTTAGAAGATGAAGGATGCCGCTACTAACCTTACACTACTTACTTTTAGAAGGGTAGCTTAGTGTTAACTTTTGTCATGAAAACATGGTGTCATTTGGTTAGGGTAGAACTTTTGGTTTGTATGAATATTTTTAACTTTGAATTCTGTCTCCAGGTTTATATACTCTCCCTTCAAAGAAAAATTCATGGAGGGAAAAAATTTGATATGAAAAAGTGAAAAGTTTAAAAGGTTGGCTATAACTTTAGGTGGAAAAATTAAAATCCACAAAATTTCAGTTTTTCTCTCCTCTTTTTTAAAATGGGTCCCCCTTTCCTTCTCTTTCAATGATTAATCACATGCCCTTCTTTTCAATTATTCTCACTTAAACACTCCTTAAAAGTTTTGCCTAGGAGTTTGCACATACTCCTTTGTTGCAAATAATAATTAACGGATGTAGTAATAATAATAAAGACAAAAAACCTTAATTGGCAAATGGTTGATAAATGCAAAACTTATAAAGATCTGGAAGGGTTGTCTGCCAAAATTTTACTACCTTCATTTTATTTGACTTACTTCTTAAAGCACAACTTTCTAATTATTATGCAGTACCGCAATTAAATAAAAGTTATGAAAAGTTAATTCTCCGTAAGTTAAAAATACAATTTCAATCTAACCAAAAGCTTCACATGTTTTTTCCTCAAAAAAAAAAGAAAAAGAAAAGCTTCACATGTTTGAGCATACTTCCATTTGACAGAGCACACCACATAAATGCAAACGCTTAGCTACAGCCGCCTACAACATTCATGTGATGCCCCCAGAATTACCCGGCAACCAATTTAAAGTTTCAAAACCTTAAGAAATTCAAGAGAAACCTCAGCAAAGAAAAGTAGTCAAACATATACAGCTTAACCTGGTAAAGATGAAAAAATGCCTAGGCTCATTAGATGTAAACCAATATAACCTGCAATATGAAACAATAATACAATGTAGCAGTTTTACAATCATGCCCAATGTACCACTGGCAAATCCCATAAAGGGTACAACGAGTAAATCTGTCAGCAAATAGACACAGATGTACACACAAATAGAGAAGAGCCTGTATAGAAGCATTACCTTCCTTCACAGCATGAGTTCTCTTGGTTTCCATTCTGAACGTAAATGGTTCCAACTCCAAGTCTTCCTTCAGCGATGCCCAGTCACTTAAAACTACAGGGATCCATCACTAGTGTAATCACACGAATATATCATTTTTATTATTATTGTTACATGAATGTGGTGTGAGCAAGAGTGTATTTAATGGACCCTTTCGTCATCAAAATGCAGACTCTCAATGCCTTTGAGTGTGGACTCATAGTTTTTAATGCTGGTAATCCTACCAGAGGCTTGCTGCTTTGCATCAGAGGATCCAACGGGTGAACTTCTTTGGCCACTTGAAAACCTCTGCACTGGGCCTGGGCTTGCCTCTGCTGTACGAGAACGGGAAGGATCAGACTCATTCCCTCCTGTAATTGCTTCACGACTACTGGGAACAACAGCTCGCTTTAACAAACCACTAGACCTCCCCGTTGGGTTTGAGCTTGACAGCTGAAAATACAAGTTAAAATTATCAAATGCTTATAAACCATAGGAAGTCACAACACAATACAAAATGAAAATTCACTTATGGACAGCTTGGTAGATAAGGTATGGACAATGAATTAGAGCATAATGTAAAATGATTATTTCCAAAATGTCCGAGGTAATGCATCTCCACAACCAAGTACATGTTTCAAATTTATTGACCTGCATCATCACTAATTTTCATTCGCCAGATGGCAATTAGAGGTGATAAAATTAAATAAAGAAAATCATCTTTCAAGGAGTGCACTACCACAGATAGTCAAATAGGACATGTCACAAAGAAAACACACAAGCTCATTAACAACCCCTTCTATCATAATCTTGTAATAACAAGCTTTGGATATAAAAGGTACATTAATAGTTTAGCTAACAAATCATCAAACTGAAGTAAGGAAAACTAAACACCTTCTACCTCAAATTATGCTGGGCACTACAAAGAATCTATCATTTATCAACATAGGTTAAAAGAAGAATTTAGGAGATGTTGAGATAAAGATTCAACAAAGGTTGGTTTAGATCTGTTCCACTGCCCTGGGCTTTAGTAGATTTTAAAATAAAGAGTAAATAATTAGATGTCAAAACCCACTGTGTCATTGCAAACAGTAAACTCCAAACACATTAAGATTAGGAATCTATTGTATCCACTCATGTTGTCTATTGCCCTTATATATACCCCCCAAATTAGACCTTGGAACATACCATAGGATCTTTGCTTACAGCTGGATCATTTGCAAGTGGACTCTTCTGCTTCAATAGACTTCCAGAATTCGTAAGTACCCCAGACATTATTCTTCGTCGAGAACTATCTCCAGTAGATAGGCCACCTGCTCGGCCTTCTTCTTCACCTGGAAAGGTCATTTATAAATTATTTCCTGATAGTTCATCCAAAATGATACGTCATATAGAGTAATGGGATACATGCAATCTTTTGCTACACAACTTATATACCCCCAACCCCCTTTTGTATATATCTAACCCAAAACTTATTGATTCAAAAAAAAAAAAAAAAAAAAAAAAAAAAAAAAAAAAAAAAACCAACCTAAATTTCTTTCGGCGTTAGCTATTGGAGGAACAGGCACACCTGCACTAGGTCCAGCACCAGCACCCTAGCATGCATACAAACAAAATGAGGGAAATACATATATGAGAAAGATAGAGGAGCAGAGTAGTGGCCAACCACGAGAAGAGCCTCGTGCGCACTAACACTTACCGCTATGCGAGCAGGAGGAGTGGCTAATTGTGATTGCTGATATTTCAGAATAGTCCAGTCAAACACGTAATCGAATTGAAATCCTACATTGATAACATACATTATAAAAAATGGAAAATAGGTAAATAGACAATGGCAAATTAAAAAAATTAAAGCAGGTAGAATGATGGACAATAGAGGGTAAGGGAAATAAACAGGAGGTTCTGAAATCATGAAACACAGAAAGTAACTGCACACCTTCACGAATGAAGAGGTCTCGGAAGATTCTTTTCAGGTATGCATAGTCTGGTTTATCATCAAATCGCAATGAGCGACAGTAATGGAAGTATGATGCAAATTCAGTTGGATAACCACGACAAAGGGCCTGACAAATAAGTAATAGTTTCAGAAAGCAATATGAGAAAAGAGGAAAATAACAAAATAAGTTTGTCTTAAAAACCCAACGGTAATGTAATACCTCAATAGATGTGGAGACCTTTTTCTCACTAATTCTTTCGTACTTCTGTTTCTTAGTCCCAGCCTTTAGTCCTTGCCAAGGAAGACTGTATGACAGACCTTATAACATGAGCCCTCTGATCAATCTCAACATAACATACAGTAAGGGGTTTCGACAATTACCTGCCTCTTAGGAAGTACATCAGCACATATCCAAGAGATTCTAAATCATCCCTTCTGCTTTGCTCTAAATAATACCAAATCAGGTTAAAAATAATGATATAGAACTGAAATGAAATCAAAATGCAGCCAAATGTTTCTTATATCACAACACAACGAAACCTACCTATTCCGAGGTGTGTGTTCATACTTGCATACCTTGCAGTTCCTGTCAAGTTCTTATTGTCTCTGCAATTTCCAAAAGAAAGATATGAGAAACATTTGAAAATCTTGCCTTTTAAATACTCATAATAATTTTTTGAGTAGCCACTAGCAGAGTGGCAGTCTTTCCAAATGACCTATTGGACCTGCACTTAATCAATTAAGATTCATTCCATTGCATTTCATTATATGATACATTGTCAATAGTGAATTTTGCAGGTATTTCGCACTGGCTCCCTCTTTGCCAAACAATGTTCACCTTGAAACTTGTGTCATTGAAATGTGATACAAATTCACAAATAGACAACTTCTTTGGGATAAAACAAAATTTTATTACTCCCTTTGTCCCACTCTAAAATGCCAAATTTAATTAAAAGTCATGTTTTAGGAGTTGGCTAGAAATTTCAAAGTTATCCTTGATATTATGTACAATTGTTGAAAGCAAGCACATCATAAGGACCTATACATCAAATCAAAAACATAGTACGAGTAATATAAGAAAGTCATAATTTAAGTTAGTAGACATGAGTTTTGACATTGTTTTGGGATGATTTGAAATAAAATGTGGCCTACTAAAGTAGGAAGGAGGGAGTATTTAACGCCATGCAAATAAACACACTTGACACTTCTAATACAGGTAGTGACCAAAACAGCTTCAACAAGTGCATTGATAAGTTTGTATAGTCCAGACTCTAAAGCTTTATCAGGAGTAAGAGTTGCACGGTCTTTACTTTCTCTCTTTGCTTTCTTTATCTCTCCCTCTTCCTCTCTATTTTCGCATCTTCTTTTCTTGTCCCAGGGTGATTTAAGTACACCATGTGTGGTTTATCCCACAACTAGAAAGTTTGTGTCTAAAAATAAGGTCACAGCAAAAGACAGACCAGTAAGTAACATTTAGTAACTCCATCGAAGTACAAATAAAGCAACCAAAAGAAGGGGGGGGAAAGTCAAAGCCTATCCGGACATGAAGTAGATACAAAGATCAGCAAAACCCAGAAATGCCCGTATAGATCAACATAGCCATGTTTTTATGTTAGTATGCATAACTTAAGAGAGAATTAATAATGATACTTATAAGGCTAATGATAATTCTGACGCCTTCTTAAAAAAACTCAGGACTCGTCTAAACAAAGGGAAAATACTAGGACATGAACCAAATTAACAAAGCCCAAGATCCAAAACATAATTTTGGAAATCGAATGAGAAGTGATGTTAGAAAAGGCACTTCTAAAAAAGGATAACATAGCTTCATAAGAATATATGACACGTTTCTTTTATCACGTTTTCCAATGCAAAGGTTCAATCGAATATATCTTCAATTATATTATTATAAAAAAATAATAAAAAATGAATTTTAATTAAGTACATATTGAAATGAATCTAACAAGATCCTACATGACTATGTTTTTTTTTATACCGATAAATCACAAATGTTAGTCAAAGCAAAGTTAATGAATAGTGTCAAAAGTCAAAACGTGTTATCTAATTTAGAACGGAGGAAGTAATAAACAAAAGCAATGATGAAGCCCTGCCTCGCATACGTTGTAGGTTCAAAGCCATTTCAACTTTGAACACAAAACCAACAAAATATATATAACAAAATCCAATTCTTTATTCAAAATCCAATTATTCATTCCAAATTTTGGAGCGCAACCAGCATTTGGAGGGGGGTGGTGTGGAGATGTGTTGGGTAACATTAAATATCCGAATTTTAAAAATGATTTATATATGCTCTTTACTATTTTAATAACTTTGAAAACGATTCATTAACTCATTAATCATCAACAAAGTTCGAGAGCAAGCGATAGAAGTAAATTTGAAAAGGAAAAAAAAAAAAAAAGAAGCTGACAAAGGTAAGAGGAATCATGAATAGGAAAAATTGAAACCATGATCTATGGAAGGGTAGTGCAACCACTAAACCACGAGTTTCAATCAACTAATTCTATCACAATACGATAGCTCATTCTATAGCTAGATGGGAATCGGACATAAATTCGGATTTCATCTGTAAGAACTCTTTAACCCAAAGCCTACAAACTTTGGTGGGAATCCCCAACCTATTTTGTTTTATATACCAGATGATTGTGGATTCAGCTGGTTTAACTAAACACGCAAATGATCTGTCCCTGAATAAAAGCATCAATCTCAACAAACTAAAAATTGCAATAAAGATATCAATGGTTAAACACTGCTTTTGCAAAAATGACTCATTCAGGTTCCGTATAAATAAGTACGCAAACACCAGCATCATTCAACTATCAAGTCTATCATGTCCAGAATTATTATCTAACCTGTAAGGGATATGCTGATGAGTTGTTGTATCTCTGTACTTCTTTGCTAAGCCAAAGTCAATAACGTAAACCTGGAAACAAAATTACAGCTATTTAAAATATAGAAATGTTGTTATAAAAGAGTTATCTCTTCTAGTTCTACAAGAGCCTTTCAACTGATTTTTACGGGTGGTGGTAGAAGTATAGCAGTGCAAATGTTCAGTTTTCAGCTTTCCCCTCCCACACCTCAAAATAAATTCGCTCCACATTTTTATGGATGTGAGGTGTCTCAAAACAAACTTCACTGTTTTTATTTTGGTTTTCTTATATGAAAATATCAATACACCCCCCCCCCCACTACTCCACCCGAAAACTTGTCACATGGGAATCAAAGTATACACAAAAAAAAAAAAAAAAAAAAAAAAAAAAAAAAAAAAAAGGGTAACCAAATGATTTCCTTAAACGAGTAACACCTATTTATGAACAGTAATATAAGCTATCTGAAATCAATTTGCCAATTAAAAGCTCTAAATGAAGACATAGAATTTAGAACAGCTACCTGATTTGCTCGCCTACCCAAGCCCATGAGGAAGTTGTCAGGCTTAATATCACGATGCAAGAAGGATTTTGAGTGAACAAACTCGATCCGGTTAATCTGAAAGATGAAGCTGACATTAATATGGAAACAATAAAATATAATAATTGCAAATATTATCAAAGTCGGATAAAGATACCATTTGATCTGCAAGCATGAGAACTGTCTTCAACGAAAATTTCCTGCTGCAGAAATTAAATAGATCCTCAAGGCTTGGCCCAAGTAAATCCATAACAAGAACATTGTAATCACCCTCTACACCAGACCATCTCACATTCATAATCCCAGCTGCAAAAGAACCAGTACCAGGAATAAGATACCATAAAAATGATAACACCAAGGGAAAAAAGGAACTGAATGAATTTCACTATATTCACGTATAAAATGCTGTAAAATCCATTACTTCCTCCCTGCAGAATCCTGTATAGCTTTGACTCATAGAGCAATTGCGGATGTTTTGTCTTAACATTTTCCTAAAACAACAAAAATCCTGTTAGATGCATCAATAAGATGGATCATGGACCCTCTTACAATATGAATACATCACTTCACAGCACGCCATGATCAAGATAAATAACAATAAAAGAAGATAAACTGATAACGGGAGGATAAAGTGATAGCAGACATGGCCGTAGATAAATATGCCAACTCACTTTGGTTGGTTCCAAGCGGAAAATGACATCTTATATATGCCCACTGACTAACATATTTCTCTTCTTTCAGTTTGCAAAAGGTTCCAAGGCTCCATCCTATAGACATAAGCCCCAACTCATCCAAGAAACTATCGCTGGCCCCCATCACAATCACTGGCACACTATCCAAATAATATCTCCTTTCTCTCTCTCTCTCTCTTTTCTTTTTCTTTTTTTTCCCCCTTTTTTTCTTGAGAGACCATCTTGTGAGTTGAGGTTTGGTGTGTAGTCCTATACAAAAATGGAGAATTGGAGTTTAATGGGGTTGTCTTAAAAAATGCTGGAGGTTTACTCTTGCTATAGACATAAGCCCCAACTCATCCAAGAAACTATCGCTGGCCCCCATCACAATCACTGGCACACTATCCAAATAATATCTCCTTTCTCTCTCTCTCTCTCTTTTCTTTTTCTTTTTTTTCTTGAGAGACCATCTTGTTTGGTATAGAGAATATCAAGGGGGTACAATGTAATGTCATAAATGTTCAAAGTGTTGTCTGGTAGAATCGCAATTTACCTTGGAAATTTATCTCACAAAAGGCCTATCTAATTACTCCATTGGTGAGGTTTATATTGGGATTAGCAAACAAGTTTGTCATGTTGTGGTCCCTAAATATCACACCAATAGCAAATTTCATCTAAATAGTGAAGGTACCACTTAAGGTGAGAGCTTTTATTGGAAGCTAGCTTAGAAAAGGATCAACACAAATGATATGCTTCAAAAGTGTGAATCAAAGTTGGCCACCTCACCAAATGCGTAGCTAACAGTGAGTTTTGTTCACATGTTTTCCTTCACTGTGAATTGGATGTCTATCTTTGAAAAAGACTCTTTGACCATTCAGGGGCGGTTATATAAGTTGCTTTTATTATGCAGTGAAGGCACTCTAATGGTGTGTTTGGGTTAAAAGAATTGGTAATAATCTTGCTTAATTTGCTATAATACAAAGTGACTTTCCTAGCTTCTTTATGAGCTAAGGCAGCTAGAGCTTTCCAAAAGTATTCTCTAAGGGAGAATGGGAGATACTAAGGAATTAGGCTAATATGTACTCCCTCCATTTCGTAACAATCGCAACACTTTCCTTTCACATCCGTTTTATAATTTCAACACATCTTTATTTGGTAATGACCCACTTATATTTCACTGTTCATCTTTCCTACCAACCTCATTTACACATTTTGAAATCATTATAATATATTTTATTTATTTAAAAAAAAAAAGAATAATACCTCACAAGAAAGAACCCAATTAATACTTAATAGCATATGAAAAGCATTCTAATAATTAATTAGCCTAATGTACCCATAAGAGCTAAAATTCAAATAGCAAGAAAGAATGCTACTAAATCTCAAGGAGCCGGAAAATGGACATGAAACACCACAAAACACCTGGCAACTCTCGTAACATACCATGATCTTGAAAACTAGGAAACATTGTCTAGCACAATATTTCTAATTTGCAGGAGACTCCAATATATGTTTTGTGCCTTGAAAACCTCAAAAGAAGAGGAGACTACAATATATGTTTTGTGATCCAACCCACCGCCCCTCTCTCTCACACTCCAATCACAAGGGCCACATCGACAGAGATCTAGCCATTGGAGACCTGCACTGAAAGACCTTTGGCAGTCACATCTTCCAGGAGTTTGCATTACTCTGCTAGTCAGCTATACAGCTGTATGCTGTGATCTATCGGTCACAATATTTTGTAAGAAATCATTATTCTTTCATCTCATGCTCCCCTTAATGTTAAATGTTTGCTTTTTACTTTTATCAGCAAATTATTGATTGCCTAAAAAATAAGACATCAGTTCTTAAAGATAATGGAATCAAAGAAGTTTTGGTCAATGAATCAATGGCAAAAGTGTTTCTCACAATAAAAGTTTTAAAAGCCATTGACAAGTAGGTTCTTGTGGCAGAAAAAAAATGCACGGGATGGGATTAGAAATACCATTTGTGTGTGTAAAGGTAATCAAGGGTAGGGATGGTTTTTAAATTCTTCTGTGTTTTTTCATTTAATCTCTTTAAACAAAGTTGTTTTCTCATTAAGAAAATAAAGATAAAGATAAAAACATTTTTTTAATCAATGCTTCCCCTTCTCTCTACTTTGTACAAAATTGACCATTTCCATTTATTGTTTCCATTTATTTCATGAGCTAAATAATTCTATAAAATAACTGGACAAGAACTATACTCCTAATTTCAATTAATATCATCTTTTCAACCTTTTCCTACTTCTAATATCCCATCATGCAGACCTCGAGTACTCGGTAACAGCAGCTTGCCAAGGAAATTTGTATGAGAAAGCTCTTGATACTTTCATTCTTGTTTACTTTATAATTCATCTTTGTGGTACTATGAGATTAGATCAGCAATCCCTAAACTGGAAATAATTTGTGCATCAGTGTGAGAAGCACCAGCACTAACTCTTTCAAAATTCAAACCCATTTCAGTGATAGCAAGGCATAAACTAAAAAAGTAGATGGCCCTATTCATATCATCCCTTTTAGTTGTTACACTCTTCCTTCACAAATTTCTTCTACCATATTCTGCCTCCAAATGCTTTCCGAAAGATTAAGGTTTCAAATATTGATTTTTGCTTATTATATATCTAGCTATTGTTCTCAAAAGAAATGTAAATAATAAAAAATTAAAAAAAAAAAAATGTTTAGGAAAAGTATATCACCCTACAATTAATCAGTTGATTGTACATTGAAATTCACACTGTATCCAGTCTATACCCTACGCATGACAAGTAAAAAAAGTACGCATGGCACATAACTCTACTTCAAATCAAGTCACAATCGGAAACTAAGTGCAAAATGAGAAGTTTGGTATGTCATAAGTGGTAACAATTCACTCCGGGGATGTATCCAAAATCATTCTTCAAAAAGCAAAGAGGATCATACCAAACATTTCCCACCAGAAAAAGGGAGAAGTTCTACAACTTTGAGAGGATCATGATTCTAAGCAAAGCAATGCTAATTAACATCATGCATGAATACCCAAAGTAGGACACACTCGATTACTTGAAAACATCAATACCTAAACAACAGGTTCATACATATTTAACTAAATTAGAAGCTATCAAACATCAACCAAAATCTGCCAAAAACAATTCTCTCATATTACAAAACAATTCAAAGTTAAACTATTAAATTATCATCATTTCCATTAACACCAACACAAACACAAGTTTTCCAAATAAGCAACTAACAAATAATACCACTTTCCAATTCCAAAATCAATCATCACCCCAAAATGCAATCATTTTAAAAAAAACAAGTTTCTAAACCCAATTCAATTCTAAATAATTTTTCCCTGCAATCCCAAAAATACTTCGAATTTAATTAAGCATCAGCTTCAAAATAAGAATAATATACAGATTAATAAAGGCAGTAAAACAATCAAACAAAATTCAATTAAAACAAAATATAATGAACAACTTACAAGCTTAATTGCCACTTCTTCATTAGTTTGAATATTAGTCCCTGCAAAAAAAAAAAAAAAAAACAAAACAAAACATCAAAAAAAATTAAAATTGAAAATTAAATTGCTAAAAAAAAAAAAAAGTGAAGATTAAGAAGAAGCAAACCGAGATAGATCTCTCCAAAAGAACCACTTCCGATCTTACGACCAAGACGAAACTTATTCCCAACACGAGGCTCCATTAAAATCAACAGAAAAGCAACCAACAAACCCTAATTGAACTCAAAACCAACCAAAAAAAATAGGGGAAAATTGGGGGAAAATGAAGAATAAGAAAAGGAAGATAAAGAGGAACAAAATCAACGAAATTGGGAATAGAAATTGAGGAGATGAAAAACCGTAAGATTGAAGAGAGAAAAGAATATGAACATAGTAGTAGAATGTATGTAAAGAACGAACAATCAATCAATCAACTACTTTGAGGAAGGAGAAAGGAAGAGAGAGAAAAAATGTATTAGTATTGGTATTAGACTATCAGTAGAATACTAGTGATATACTTAAAGTTGATAGATATTTGGGTTAGGGTTAGATTATTGATAGTTTTGGAATTAGGAAAGGGTGGGGTGGGTGGTGAAGTGATGTAGATTATTGAAAATTGTTTTTCTCTCTCTCTCGTCTAGAGTTTTTAGAGTGGTGTGGTGTGGATAAAATGATGCAAAATGAATAGTGTGTGCAATATGTGGTTTTCTTCTCCACCGTGGTCGCGATTTTTGTTTTGTTTTGTTTTTTAATGTTTTTTATCTAGATGAATTACAAGGACAATATAAAGTATTAAATATTGGTAAGGACGGAAGGAAGTTAAAACTATTATTGGTCCTAATGTTAACCAATAGGTTATGAACTTTTGATCCCATTGCCTTATTTTTCGATACGTAAACCGATGAAAAAATTGAATCAGGCTGCAATTTACAATTTATATGAACTCTTGGGCTGTAATTTGTAATTTTTTTTAAAATGGCTGCAATTTGCAAAATACAAACTTTAAACAGCTGCAATTGGCAAATTTTTACTTCTTTAAAAGTTAAAGGAAATTTTGCATTTAACCACCTTTTAAATCTCACTTTTTGCAAATAACCACCTTTTAAAAAAAATTGTTGCAGGGAACCACCTAATTTTAAAATTTTGTTGCAGCTTAACACCATACGCCGGAAACTGAGACTTTGACTTAAAACTCTGGTGTTGACCAAGACACGTGTGTCGCACGTGACAATTAAAAAAAGCCTCGCCCCCCCCCCCCCCATTTTCATTTTTTTCCCCCAAACTCATTCGTATTCTCTCTCTCTCTCTCTCCCCTGTTTCTCTTTCTTCTTCGTCTCTGTTGTTTTTCCATCCTTCTTCTTCCTCGCATCTCCTCCATTGTTGGTTGTTGTAGCTTCAAGTAAGTTTTTTTGCTTTTCTCTTTCTTCTCGTTTTCTGTATTTTCCATTAATTCCTTTTGTTGTTGGTAATTGCATAATCAGAAAATTAGGGTTAGCTTAATTCCCCCTGAAATTGGTTCGTGTAGGTGCAATGTCTTAATCACCATCACACAAAAAATGTGGTTGTGGTGTCCCAATTGCAAGGTTGAAGTCTTGGACTCATGAGAACCCAGCACGAAGATTCGAGGCATGCAAATTTTACAACCCAGACATAAATCAAAGGGGCTGCAATTTCTTTAGGTGGTTGATGAAGATATGACAAGTTGGTAACACGAAGCCATTAATCTGCTTCTAACAGACAAACACCTTTTGAAAGGACAAGTTAATGTTTTGCAAACAAGATTATGCTGCTCAGAGAATGAAAATAAGAGGTTGAAGGATGAGCTTGATAAACTAAAAATGAAGGTGAAGAAGTCAAAGAAGGGGCAAGGTGACAACTTTGGAGTAACTATGATGCTATGTGTGGCTGTTTCTGTTTTACTTAGTGTTATTATGGTGAAAATGTTAGCATGAATTGTACTTCTAATAATAGGAAGTAGTATGAAACAGTTGGCTGAAGTAGGTGTTGTTATGTAATAAGTGTACTCATTGTGTTAAATTAGTGCAGTGTAGAAATGCAATAAAATGAAATGAGCTTGGCTCCTTTTTCCTAATTTTATGTTGGTCTGTTTTTTCCATATGTCCTGTATGCTTTGCCCAAACAATTCAGAACAACAACCAAAACATTAAGGAAGGAAAATGTTGTCAAAATAAGTGCATCTTAATTAAATATTGTTGCAAATGTCAGACACACTAACAACAACTAATTTGTTCAAATACATAAAAGTTCAAAAACAGTTAAAAGGAAGCATAATATAACAGATTCATGAAGTAGAAGCCTGAGAGCTTATAACACTGGCAGAAGTACTCTTTTGCTTCTTTGAGGCACTTGGACCCTTAGATGTTGCTGGAGCTGTGGACACCTTTGCAACTGCACCTTTTGAAGCATTTGGTGCACTTTTTGAAGCATTTGCAGCTGGAGGTCTTCCCCTTTTTGTACCAGAATTGGCAGCAGCTTGTAAAGTAGAATTAGCAGGAGGTGTTGTATTGGATGTTCTGTTTTGTGAGGTTGTAGCACCTGATTGGGTAGATGTTGTTCCAGCAAACACAGGTTGATCATTTTTAGGTCAGCCACCCTTGTTAATATCAGCATTGACTGGGACTGGTGGATTCTTGCAAGTCTTCTGATAATGGCCTGTCTGACTACACTTTTTGCATCCATTTTGCTTCTTTGGTCTGACAACATAGGCATCTTGTCCTTCCCCTGGTTCTTTGATTCTCTTCTTTCCCTTAGGTCTGTCAGGTTGTTTCTTGAATGCTGGTGGCAAAGTGTCACGGTCCGGGAGTTTGGACCCCGAAACGTGCGGCGCGCTCTAGCCTTTTGGCGGCAAGAACGCTAGCCTTGAGCGGAAGAGAGGCTTGTGAGCACAAAGCAACACAAGCGGGCAATAGAATCTCAGGAGCACTCACGTCTATCTGGGCGACGGAGTGCGGGTGGTCGGGGCTTGTGACGGCTGATACTTCAAAGCGGGCACAAGCGGGTCCGAACCACGAGTCCTTAGCGCATCAAGTTGGGTTGGAGGGGAGCTAATATGCAAGTAAGACACAATATCTATAAAGGTCTAACAACAAACAAGCATAAAAGCAAGGCAACACTTGGTAGAAGGCTTTAAGATTTCATTAATCATTCGGCCTCTAAAGAGCTTTAAATGACATACAAGGAGAATCCCTAGTGAACACTGATCTGACAGTAACACAATAATGGGACCTCAAGCTAAGAAAACATAACCTAAACTCTAGGAAAGCACTTAAATGGAATCTAATACATCAAAAGGAGTTGGATTCTAACACAAAGGCTCTGGTAATGTACTCTTTGGCCATTGATTTTTACCTGGCATAGGGTGGAATGCAGGGGCATATGTCTTAGCATAGGTAGAAACATGGTATGTTGTGTGTACATAATCCTCCCAATTAAACCTTTGTAATGCAATGCAAGCCAATGCATGGTAACAAGGAATACCAAGTAACTCCCACCTAAAGCAGCCACATTTCCTAGTTTGCAAGTTAACAACATATGTCTCCCAGTTGAGACATGATCAACCTCAAACTCATGCACATCTGCTTGAGTCACATCACACTTGCTAACTTCCTCTTTTGCCCTCTCTATCATCTTTACCACAGATGGCATTATCACACCCTCAAACTTTGCCAGCCCTTCTCTCTTAGCACAACACCTCTTCATTACCCACCTCCTAATCCACTCCATAATTCCTATGATAGGCATAAATCTAGCTTCCCTGATCACATTGTTAAAGCTTTCACAAACATTATTTAGCAACATCCCAGATTTGGACCTACCGCTAAAAGCATGCCTTGACCAATAATTAGGTGGAATCTTGTTCAAATAATTGTAAGCATCTTGTGAAATTAACTTGATTGCCTCCATTTGTTGGTCAAAGTGAAACTGAAGTGAATTATACTGAAGTTTAGTACAATATATCAAACTAACTTAACAAGTTGAAGTTGAATTTTGATAGAATAAGGAGGTGATACCTTTGTGCTTGCCCTTGCTGCCCTGTAGAAGTATTGTTTGAAAAGCACCCCTGAGAATTTGAGCTTGAAGTTTTCCATATATGTCTACAACAAAATCTGATTTCAGCCCTAGGTATGACTTTATTGAAAGCCTCTAGCAAGCCTTGCAACATGTACAAACAACAGTGATGAATAACAATAAGGTTAAATAACTCAATTTGGTATTGAAAAACATTGAACTTTTGGCACTGACCTTCTGCCTATTAGACATCCATGTAACAGGGCTTGCTGTATCTCCCACACAAGTCAAGTCCTGTGCTACACTGCCCAAGTCTACTACAAGCAACTCAAGAAACCACTCCCGGGCTTTAGAATTCTCCACTTCAACTATAGCCCATGCAACAGGGAACAAGTTGTTGTTCCCATCCTTCCCCACTGCAGTAAAACATATTCCAGGAACAGGATCTTTCAAGTGGCAACCATCAACTCCTAATATGGGTCTACAACCTGCCACAAATCCCTCCTTACAAGGTTGCAAACACACATACATTCTTTGGAAGAGCGGGGGGAGGGGGGGATGTTCCATGCTAATGCACTTAACTACTGCTGTACTTCCTGGTTGCATGCCCTAATTGCTTCACAATAATCCCAAACCCTCCTATATTGGTTTGCAGCATCACCATGAATCATTTTCATTGCTTTTGCCCTAGCTCTGTAGCACTTATAATAGCCAAGAGTAACACCTGTCACTCTTCTAGCCCTCACCATGAAATCCCTCAGTTTCCATGTTGGTGTGTCCTTCCATTCATATAAAAACCTCTCTGCTAAATATTAGGATGTGACTTTGTTGTTATTATGTTGCCTCCCACAAATGTGAGTCAAGTTCAAAGACTTGATTTGAACTGTGCATTCACCTTTCACTTTCCTACAATGAACCTTGAACATACATTTCCTGCTCACCCCACATGTGAACTTCACAATCCTACCATGCTTCCAATTACAGCCACACTTATTCACACAAAATACAGTAATTCTCCTGCTGTCATTGTGGAGAAAGTAGTAGTTATAACCACTCTCTATTGCATGATACCTTAGTGCTCTCCTAAACACATGAACTGAAGGGAATTTTAGACCTAGGGACAAATAAATCTTGTCTTTGAAATCCACATCTGGGTTGAAAACAGGGTAGTGAATCCCCCTCTCATCATCTGAGTCAGGTATGCTCTCATCATCAGACTCACCTAAATCAACATCAGCATCTAAACTCACTAAACCATCTTCCTGTCTACCATTCTGCTCACCCTCAATCTGAACAATTTGCTGATTTGCAGCCCTACCAAGACTCCTAGTAACCCTCTCAGTTATGCTAGCATCCACATTTTCAGCAAACAAATCATCATCCTCAACATCTTCATTGTCACTATCACTCCACTCAGCATCACTGTCATCAGAACCACTAAAACCTTCAACCATAGTTCCCTGTTGTTCATCCCTTTCAAATCCCTCCTCACTGTCATCAACAGCCAACTGAGCTGCTTCTTGCCACTTTTTAGATCTAGGACCTGGGTTAGATCTATTAGGTTCTTTTTACAGTAGTTAAAGAAAGGTTTTTTTGGGGATTAGTTTGCTGTGAGGAGGAAAAAGGGTGGTTAACAGTTGAAAGAGTTATTTGTGAGCATGTATTTTTAGATCTAGGGTTATCTATATCTTCATGTGGTACCATTTGACTAGATGACTCAACTACCTCTTTTCCCTTTTTAGCCAACCCCACCAAATGTTCAACATTGAACCAGTCTTGTAG